ATTAATTAATTTATGTATTTTGAATTAATTTATCAAAGGAAACTCCCAAAGATGCATATTCTCACAGATACTACCACAAAGAGGAAGACAGGAAGAAGAAAAAACACACACAAGTACTGCCAATGAATTTTTAAAAAAATATTTGCAGTACGTTTCCCTGCTAGATTTAGCTAAAATTATTTGATATTAATGAATAATTGATTAACAAATCAGAAGCAACTGAAATTACAAACGCTGTAATTTCGCCACACTTTCTACAAAAGTCAATAAAAAAACATGATGACATGTGACCTGATAATTTAAACATTTTTTATGTCTTTTTTTTTTTGCCTGATATAAGAATATATATTTACCTTCTATTTGTTCCTGAAGACGAAGCCTGGGTATGTTTTCTCCTCAGTTAGATGGGAACACTGTAGTGAGGATAGATATAGTTAACCACACACACAGCTAATTCAAATCATCCGCATATAACTGTTAAAATCAACTGTTGCGTTCACGGTCAGTTTGTTATCTTATTAGGCAGCATTTGTGTTTATATTCCTGCCTAGATACAGAAACGACACCTTACAGCAAGCAGCTGTAAGAGGCTGCGACCAAAACCAGAATCGTGGTTAACCTGCTCGGGGTCCAATTATAGACTGTCTTATACTGACATCTTGTGGTGAAACGTTAGTACTTGTAGCTGCGCCACGATTTAGCTGTGACGGTAAAGTACTCTTCAAAACAAAAATAAAAAATAAATACAAATAATAAAAGATTAAAATAATAAATGAAATAATAATAAAAATAGAAATAGAAATAAATACTATATTAATGCTTCATGTCTCATCAGCATTCCTCTTTCAATGACACACCGACACAAACATATACACAGGAACATATTTGTCCTACAAAGAACGTTTCTTGTATACAAATGGACAGAGCAGCCTTCTTGTGTCTAGGAAATTCATATTTACTGTAAACGAATTAAAGTATAGAGATGAGTGCAGCACAAATTTAATTTTCACCTTCGGTAACAAATTAAGTTATTTTTTCAAACTTTAATTTCTGGTCCTTTAACTAAAAAAAAAATTAGTTATCAAACACTTGAATTTCTTTCTACTACTCTTCATCTTATTTTGAAAAAACAAAAACAATTTTAGCCTTACCTTTACTTTAGTAAACTTTAGTAACTTTAGTAAAGTCCATGGTTGTAGCTCTCGGTTTTTCCTCACCTTAGCATTGTGGACGCTAATGTTTATTCTCCGTTGTTTATCCAATGACAAATCGACCCTTGAATTTCCAGAAGAGAATAAAAGGCAAGTAAAGCAGTAAAGACGGTTTTTTACAGGACAGAGACACGGCCAGTGTTTTCGTTTGTACCGGTACATTTAAAAAGAACGACTCTTCTGTCCCGTAGTTTAAAGCTAACATTTTAGCTCCGGCGTTGGTCTTCCATCACTTATCATCTTCTGTTTGGACCGGAAGTCCAGTTTTGAGAAACGATTCCGTCTTGAAATACGATCCGTAGTGATTTTGATCCGGAAGTGCATAGAAAACGTTGTTCTTCTCCTACTACTGGCTCTAGCTTGGCGCCGACTTTCAGTTCACGTACAACCCCTTGAGGTAAGACAGAGTACTGTTTGCCTCCCGTGCTGACTTTTCTCTGCACTTTATTGGCTGTAACGGAAACGAGCCCGCGTCATGTGACCCAGTTTGATTGGGTCGCGCAGTCAGATGTGAGGCAGAGTTCGTCTCTGTAACTGTATTTGAATGTGAAATTCTCGAATTCGGCGATTTTTTTTTTACTTAATAAAATGTCAAAAATGTGTAGAGTGATATTGAAAATGCATCTTTAACACAAGTCAGTGGAAAATATTAATATTTATTTTACGTGTTCGTTTCTTTTTTTATCATTATGGCAGCACTGCCTCCCCTGACCGCACGTCATGACGAATAGTGTCCTTACGTATTACGTATTACGTAAGGACACTATTGTATCAAGTCATATTAGCAGATAACTATGATAATAATTTAACAACGAATGAATGTATTTCACGACAAATCTAGAACTAAATGACAATTTATTACATTCAATTATTAAATTTCAACATTTGTTTTAAGAACTGGATTCTTTCAAATTGATTATTTTACCTGGTGAACCGAAATTGTAATTAATTAGCGCTGTGTCTTTAAATAAATATGGTTTGCAAAAGGTCGTATTTTGTTATTATTACATTTTATTTAAATTTTTGTTATTCTTTGAGACAAGTGGGTTAATTATTGTTCCAAAACATCAGTTGTATTTATAGCTGGTTCTCATTCGTAAAAACTCATACAATTTGAAATAAGAAATGATTTAATTACTGTCAGAATGTTTAACCTATTTTATTGTTACAGTTAAATGTACTTGGGATTTTTTTTTTTTATGTGCTGTTCAAGTGCTTTTGTGTTAGCACAAGCAATCTTAGTTGAGTTGAATTTTTTATTTTCCATCTTGAAACTTTACTTTAAAATGGACACATTTGAAAAACTTTAAAACATTTAGGCGACATTTAAACTAGTGTAAAAACAAAAGTATACATGCATCCTGTTTTTTGTTGTTTGTTTTTTTTTTTTTTTGGGGTGTGGGGGTAGCAAAGAGGTTTTTTTGCGATAGTTTGGGAACCGCTGATTAACAGCATTACACACATCCTTCGCATCCTTCACATCTTCCGAAGTCACAGAAACCTGAGGAAAACTGGACAACGTTGAAAAAGTTTCCTTGTTTATTATCTGTAATTAGTCAAATACATGTATACAAACAGTAGGAAAATGACTCTGGGACATTTTTTTCTTCTTCTTTACAACGTTAAAATATCCCGTTAGCACACCTCCAGTTTTTTTTTGTTTTTTTTTTCTTTTCTAACGTACGCTTCACGTCTTGAGTTGTAGAAAAGGCGAACAGTATTATAAATGTATTGAATAAAAGAAAAAGAAAATGAGTAATTTATGTACTACAAATACAAATAAATAAATAAATAAATAAGCAAATAAATGTTCTTTTTACTCACTAGCAATAAATACCACAGGATAATGAATCGCCATTTTCTGGCAAAAAAAAAAAAAAAATGATGCGCTTAGTACGAACAAACAAAACTGAATGTTTTGTCTTCTTCAGGCATTTACATTAGAGCCAGTGTTTCCCGACCTTTTTTGAGCCACTGCATATACCGTACCTCCCATGTCGCACCACTGAACAAAAATGTCACAAAATGTACATGTAAGGAAACATAATGATCTTCCAGTTTCGATTGGCTCACAGTTGACTCACTCAGCGGGAAACCCGGGCCTGTTTAGTTGAACATAAGGCTATAGGCTGGCAGGAGTTGAAGAACGACAAACACGTCAACATCTTGTTCAATAGCTCTGAGTCCGTCTCTTTTTTTCAGGTTTTTTGATCATCATCAGTAAAGTGACACCTCGGCTCACCAACTAATTTTGTTCTTTGACTCTATTCGCGACCCGAAAAAGTTTGTGAACCGAATCAATTTTTCCCTTCGCAATTTATGTAAACCCTAATAATCCGTTCTTTGGCCTATCAACTTTTTTTTTTTTTTTTTTGGCTTTATGTTTGGAAATATTGGAGGAAATAAATATAACCATAATTATAGAAGAAAGCAGTTCAAATGCCAAAATAAAACTATAAATATAAATGGAATGAAATTACGAAAAAAAACCCTGAAGTATTCACACTCATCAATGACGAACAATGTTAGCGTTATACTAACCAATTGTCGTAGGAACACTAGATGCGCGAGAACTGTAATGCCCCTGGGTGAGTGGCTGGGTGTCTCGTGCATCGTTTTGTGCGTCGGGTGTCGCATGAGCTCCGTTGAGCAGCGTTAGCAGTGGCGAGAACTAGCGCCGCTCGCGTGTCTGCGTGTTCGCGAATCGAAGCATCGTTCGTCTAATAACGCAAAAATTTGTTCGGAATGTTGTTCATAGTCCAATTCGTTAGTGAATAATGATGTTCAGGACCCGAAGTATCACCGAAATTTCATTTTTCTTTCTGTCGCTATCGCGTTGAGAACGAAGACAAAATCATTTGCAGTAAATAAGTGATAGATTTCAGATCAAATCGTAACGTATCTGACGATCCTTAACGGTACACTAGTATGCAGCGGCACAGCGGTCGGGAAACACTGCATTAGGCAATACTGTGCGGCTTGAGATTTTCCATCAACATGTTTTCATGTAATGACCTTGCGTTGCGGAATGAACTACTCGCAGTAGAAAGGCTCTTAGGTGGAATTTCACATCACGTTTGGGTATAAAGAAGTCAGCTACAAAAGCTACTCAGTGAAAGGCCTGTTCAAATGGCTAGGCCACTTGTGCCCATCTTATTAAAATTCACCAGTAAAAAGTGACAGAAATGGATTTTTCCCCCCTTCGCCATAAACAGAGACAGAGACTAAATGACTGGAAGGCGAGAAAAGTCTGTACAGTCAGGATACCACGGACGTGACGGGAAGGGTATCCGGCATTAAAAAAAAGAGCTAAAATCACTATGCGACAACCGCTGTGGTGACCCCTAAAGAAAAGGAAAAGCCAAGAGGGGATTCTTTTACATAATAAAGGAGGTAACTTTCAGTCGTTCTAGTAGGCAAGAATTTACCAACATACAAAATCCTGATCGAGAGAAATTAGATAACTTAGGACACGTTGCTGTACATACTAGAAAGGTAAAGTTGAGACAAAAATACTATTTACATAAAGTCCTTTTGATAAAAAATAAAATGAAAAAAAATAAATAAAAAAAAAATATTGGGTGATTTTTTTTTTTTTTTTTTTTTTGCAAAAAAACAAAAACAAAAGAAAACAAATTAAGTCAGTAGGTTCACATTTCTAGCACAAGACTGTACATCATCTTGCATCGAGAGAGAGGCAGTTTCCTGTGGTGGAGCTAAACACGAGAGCATATCATGCTGCACTAATATAGTGCGAAATTATGCCTTGGAACTGAAAATAAAAGAGAGGCAGGCAGACAGGAAGGTGGTTCTAAGATTTATAACACAGTATTGTTTTGTTTTGTTTTTTTTCTCTATGAAAATGATGCCTGGTTGTTAACAACACAGGAAGCTATTTTAGTTTCAACAGTCCCCTGAGGTTCTCCTTGAAGACAGCTTCGGAAGCCCACCACGACTTTTACTATAGTCCATAATTGAATTCAGGATTTGTGGAATTTAGAGCAATAAGCTCTTAGTTGTGAATGGAAATGCAGGTATTTTGCGTATTTGCAAGCGTAACAAGTGAGCAATTGTATGGAGACTAATGAAAGTATAACGGTTTGAATTACCGTATTTTCCGGACTATAAGTCGCACTTTTTTTCATCCTTTGGCTGCCTTTGCGACTTATACACAGGTGCGTCTTTTTAAAATATATAATTTCACGTTTGTTATTTTGACATTGACAGCCACTAGAGGGCACTCTAGGCTTGAGTACCAGTATCTGCTACTCCTGTACCACTACAAAAATGTCCACATTTGTTATTTTCACAATGACAGCCACTAGAGGGCACTCTAGGCTTGTGTTCCAGTATCTGCTACTCCCACACCACTGAAAATTTACAGGTTCGTTATTTTCACACTGACAGCCACCAGAGGGCACTCTAGGGCGTGTACCAGTATCTGCTACTCCCCCACCCCTGAAAATTTAAAAGTTCGTTATTTTCACACTGACAGCCACCAGAGGGCACTCTAGCTAGCTTGGGCGACCTATACCTCAGAGCAACTTATAGTCCGGAAAATGTGGTATATAATTTGGATAAGAATCATCAAGTATCACACAGAGATGATCCCATTTAGCATGATGTAAATGTTAGTGGCAGTAGCAAAATGGCAGCGCTGTGAAAAAGGACAAGGTTTCCTCCCAGCTCTGAAAGTATCAAAATGAATATAGAAAAGAATATAGAAACATAAGAGCTGCATAAGAGTTTTCTTTTTCTTGATCTCTAGAGTTGCGTTTCCTATCAGGAAGTTCTTCACGTATTGTGTTATGTGTGAACAACCCCACTTGCCCTGCAGTGAGACAATAGTCCTTAGGTCGCTGCAGTCAACACGAGGACAATCACATGTCTGCATCTCCGTCGTAGGCTAGAGTCAGGGGCTTCAGTCGGTTGTTCATCTGTCTTCGCTGTGGCTTCTTTGGCTTTTTGCTACAAAACAAAACAAAAAAAAAACAAACAATTGGATTGAATTTGACAATAACGACCTTTCTTTTCATTATTCAAAATACATTTTCTAAACCTTTCAACTTAAATTAGTGACTTTATTGTCAGAAAGGTTTTTTCTTGTGAATTTATGAATATTTACATTTTCATTTATTGTCGTGTGACATTATGACTTTTTTCCTCATAAAATTATGACTTTTTGGGGGGGTAAATTTAGGTAAATAACAGTGTCTGGGAGGTTTGTAAAGGGTAAATATATACCTAAATAATATAATCGCAATTTTTCCCATTTTCGCCGTGGGTCTTGGAACGCAACTAGCGCGATAGGAGAGGGATCACTGTATAATGAAAATATGCAATGTCTGGGTTTAGCCGAGATGATGTAACCTAAAAAAAAAGTCACAAGTCATTTTTGTCACTGTAATACAGCACACTGCTACACACAATAAAATTTGTCCTCTGTCCTTAACCAAAATGGCTCCATATATATCGGTGTCGTTTGATATCGGAATCGAAAAATCAAGTGTTTCGACAACATCGACATATCGGATACCCGCAAAAGATCCGTACTAAAGACTATTTTGGGCTTGTTGTAAATATATATATATAATAGACACATTTCATTCTGAGGTAGATTTGACGGCATATCAAAACCTTAGACGATGCACATTCAGTTCGTCATGTTTGATGTCTACAGTAAGGTCTATCAGACAGACAGTGTATTTGAAGACGGGACAGCTCACCTCCAAACATACGATCCATGGGTATGAGTCACTAAAGCACAGTAGGTATATGGCTATGAATGGGAGCAAGGGAGAACGAGTGACAAGGAGAGACGGCGTCCCTCTCGACATTTCAAGTTTCAAAGCAAAAGGCTTTGGGCGTGTTGATGTGGGTAGCTGTTCGAACTGTGCGTCATTTTGTCGGTCCCTCATGTTGAGGCTATTGCTGGAGTTTGCTGCGCTGCCGTAACTCGCTCTAGGGTCTGGCAGGTGGGACAAGTGTAAGGCACCGGCTCCATCCAGTGAAACCCGTCTGCGGGGGGCTTGGACTGAGACTTGCAGCACTTGAGGCAACAACCACAGTGACTAAAAACAGGACGTGCACATGTGGGATGGAGAAAAGAAAAAGAAAAAGTGAAGGATGAAAAAAAAAAAAAAGTTAACACAGAAGTCAAATAAAGGAGTAAACAAATGGAATGAACATAAAGCAGAGATGTAATGATCGCAAGGGCTACATCCGGTAGAGACACACTTAGGAGCTAAAAAACAACTGAAGGACGCTACAGCGATAGAGATGGGAATTGATGAAGGTTCTTGTCGCGCATTGTTTCCCAAAGACTGGGTCGCGACTCTCGGGTGGGTCGCAAGAGATTTTTTTTTTGGAAGGGGGGTCGTCCGGCATCATGTTTCCCAAGAGTTTACGAATAATGACTATTGACTTGGGTCGCGAAGGTTTGTGACCTTCGAAATAAAGAAAAAAAGTTTGTTGTAGAAAACATAGCTAGCTAGTCCGATTCCTCGAAATCGTTAGTGGAATAAGTTGGCTTTGCCTAGTACTTCTCGTTATTAATTCCGCCGATTTCGCACATTTGCTTTGTGATGATTTTGACACATCACACATGGCGGTTAGCAAGAAGGCGCTTTAACAAGAAACAGTGAGAAAATGTACCCACACTATTAGAAACACCATGCGACGAATGTATATTTCACACATGCGCAGCAATCACAGCTTTCCGTCTCAAATTCGAAAGTCGAATTCAAGTCACCCAAGTCACGTTCTGTGCTAATTGTAGCGACAGTCCAACCCGCTTTCAGTATAGTGTATGAATAATGTCCTCATCATCATCCAAATTACATTTGATTTATGATGATGAGGAGTTCGTGGAGCCTCCAGTCGAGTGCGATACCCAATCACAATCAGAATCTATTGTTTTGTTATATAGTACCACTGTAACTGAAATGTCATCATGTTACTAAAAAGGTGTTAAAAAAATCTGCTACTCTTTAATTTGATTAAAGAATCAAATTGATAAGTTATATTGACAATAGGACCAGAAAAAAATCCTATCAATTCCCATCCCTAGAGGCTGATTTTTAAAGGTTTTTGGAACATAAGTGCAGCTATCATAAAAAAAAAAAAAATTCAAATAAGTAAAGTTACACCAAAGTCTGTTGGTGATCCCTGAATTATGATGAAGAAAAAAATTTTTTTTGAAATAAAATACAAAGGAACAGTTTGTGGGGGGAGAGGTTGAAAATGTACTACCTGATATTTATTCAGGCATCAGAAGCTCATGATTCCTCAAAAGCCGATAAACAGAGCTTAGCTTAGCAACTAAGGTTTGAATCTCTATGGAACCTGTTCAATATGAACCAGAAGTCCAGTTACACTGGTTCATCCACCATTCAATGTTTACTTTACAAAGCAAGTCGTTTTTTTTTTATTACGTTCACAAATGAGCTGATCCGTTGACTGATATAAAATGTGTGCGTTTAAATCACGTCGAAAAGCGTGCCCGCGCCCGTGCCCGTACGCCATCACTCAAATTAATTAGTCTACGCTCAAGTCAGCCCATTTTAAATGATCCTCATTACTTCCCTTGATGTCGGGAAATGATGATGTGAGTCGTAAGCTGAGGTCATAAATGAGCACACAACGTGCGGCCAGACGCAGAGGTGGCGCATTACCATGCTAGGTACGTCATGGAGATGATGAACACGAGCAGGACGAACACTCCCGCAGCCACACCGTACACCCAGGTCTTCACCTTCCCATCTGCAAGCACAAGAAAGAAGCATGACTGCAATATAGACGTGGTGATATATATATATATATATATATATACACATATATTTGTATATACTGTATATATATTTGTTTAACTTTTTTTATTGTGCATGTATATACCATATTTTCTGGACTATGAGTCGCTTTTTTATCATCCTCTGGCTAGGTTTGAGACTTATATGTTAAAATATATCATTTCACATGTTCGTTATTTTCACATTGACAGCCACCAGAGGGCACTCTAGGCTTGTGTACCAGTATCTGCTACTTCTGTACCACTGAAAATGTATGTTTGTTATTTTCACACTGACAGCCACTAGAGGGCACTCTAGGCCCGTGTACCAATATCTGCTACTCCTGTACCACTGAAAATTTACATGTATGGATTTTTACAGTGACAGCCGCCAGAGGGCACTCTAGCACTTTAAATTAATTCTTGAATATATATAATGATATATATATACATATATACACATATATATATATACATATATACACATATATATATACATATACATATATATATACATATATATATATATATACATATATATACATATAAGTATATGTATGTAGTATGTCGAGGATTGAATTGTCACAGAGTTTGTTGCGGACATGCTGATATTACCAGGACCAAAAGGCTGCAGAAACCATGTGCGTCCCACTCGGCTCGGTGTGCTGGACGCAGGCTGAGTGGGGTTCAAGGCTCGAATTGTCTTGACGTCAGCCTTGTTGTCACCAGTGGTGGGGATCTCCAGCACAGGGATGACGGTACACTGATCCAGCAGCCCATCGGATGTCATGACTTCAGTGTAGCCCTGTTCACAGCCACACACACCCACCTGGAGGGGGTCGGAGGGGGGTGCTGATTTAGCTTACAATTTACAATTAAAACACAAAAAAACAATTGACTTGTACTAAAGTAAAGCAAAAAAAAAACCAAGACGCACATCACGTATTGCTTGACATTTAGGCACAATAACAAATCACGAACGACGGAGGATAACACTGTTACGTGCAGAGTGTATTCCAGTACCTCTGTGCAGACGGAGCGCGGTTTGGTGCAGGGAGGGTCACACGATCGGTCCGATTTCGGTGTGGCAGACACCGGACATCCACCTGCAGGACAAAGATAAGAAAAAGGTCACATTTTAGTCGCAACAATCTCCTGTATGTACGTCAGTGATGCCGTAATGATTGCGCAATAAGAGGAACATATATTACATCTGTTATATCTTATATTTATTTATATTATATATATTACATATATTTATGTATTTATTTTATCAACGTCTGACGATGCACCCTGTGCTGAAAGCTCAGTGGATCTGTGCTCGACTACTCGGCCTTAAAATGCATATGCGCAGATCCACCGATTTTTTTTTTTTTTTTTTTTTTTGCACTTTTTTATCCACTCGATCTAACTTATTGTGTCGTTTCTTTCATTAAAACCCTAAAGATATTTAAAGCCGCAGTCAAATTCCTTTCCGATTCTGATTGCGATTAAAATAAATTTTTAAGGTGCCTGGGCATGCCACCTTAAAAAAAATAAAAAGTTTGCATGTTCGTTGAGGATTCTGGTTTAATTATTATGAGGTAATAGGGTAGCTTTTGATTAATTAGTTGTTTTTATATATATATATATATTTTTTTTTTTTTTTTTTTTTTTTCTACAATATCTACCTGTTACGTTTAGACCATCAGAGCGCTGACACCACACAGGGCGCGAAGAGCCCTTCCACGGCCCGGTTTTCCACTTGTATTCAAAACACTGGCCATCTGCAGGAGCAACACAGTCAAGGGCAGTGTCAGTGTAACCATTACATGTTAGGTAACACAGATGAGAAGGGAATGCAATTTAGAGAAGTTTTTTTTTTCATATATTAAACTGTCTCCATACTGGTCTGACCTGTACATGAGCTTGTCTCCATCTCCTGTTCTGGACACTGCAACAAGTTCTCTGGATCCTGAGCTACTACAGGTCTGGATCTGACCCTGACTGATCCAAAGCCAAGGTCGTTTCCGTTCACACAACTTAACTGGCACGGGCTCCACCTGGTCCAATCCCTTAGGTAGCACTCACCTGAGGAAGAAACGATAAACGTGAGGGGGGCTTCCCAATGGAATATGACTGCTGTAATGCTCGAATGATAACAAGCCTCCAGTCACTAGGTGGCAGCATTTCAGCAACAGTGGTTTGTACAGATAAAAATATACATGTTACCAGGTTCTCGATTGGTATTTCAATTCACGGGGATGTGAAAACATTTCTGTCCCCGGGGGGACAGAAATGTACACACATATACACACATATACATATACATATACATATACATACAGTATACATATACATATATATATATATACATATATATAAATATATATATATATACACACATATACATATACATACAGTATACATATACATATATATATATATACATATATATAAATATATATATATATACACACATATACATATACATACAGTATACATATACATATACATATATATATACATATATATATAAATATATATATATATATAAATATATATATATATATA